AAAAAAAAAAAAAAAAAAAAAAAAATCATGCACAATATGAATACCAAAAAATTAATAAAAATAGTTACTTACTTTGTTCCAATTGTTCGAGTTTCATGTAGAACTCAAGCTCTTCTTCTGTAGGCTGCTTGTGAAATTGAAATTCCTTCCCTCTAAGCCAATCATTTGTGCAAACTAAGGCCTCGAGCATCCTAGATGTCAAAGAAGCTCTAAACGGATCCACAATCCTTCCTCCAAGGCTAAAGGCATTTTCACAAGCAACGGTCGAACTAGGAAAAGCAAGCACATCCTTAGCAACATTGGAAAGAATAGAGTAGCTTGAGATTTTACTTTTCCACCATCCCAATAAGTCGAAATCATCATTCCTTGTACTTTCATATGCATCATTAAAGTACTTGTCAACTTCATTTGCTATCTCTTTGAGTCTAGCTTCATTTCTTTGCCTATTAAGTCTCCGCTCTATCCTCAATTCCATATCATAATCATCACCACCACCACCACCATCACCAAGATCAACACCATCATCCCCATCCTCATGCACATCCACATGTGACTTTTCTGTTCCCTTATAAGTTTCATACATAAGATACAAATGTGTTTTCACTCGACTCTTAAGGATCTCAACTTCATTAAGGGTGTAGCCAAGCTCCCCTAATTGCAACTCCATCAATTGAAATTTATATTGTGGATCAAGAGTTTGGACTACAAACATTAACATGTGCATATATTCGAAAGAGCCCCAATATTTATCAAACTTCCTCTGCATAGAAATAGTCACATTTTGCAACACAATATTTTTCTTATTTTTAATTCTAGCCTCAACCTTAATCTTCAAGTTTATCAAGATTTTTAGAACAAGATGCGAGGTCGGAGTTTTGATGACACTAAACTTGACAGTGGTATCATAGAACTTCTTGAGGATATGTGCAAATGTGCATATTCGTTGTATAATGTCTTTGCACTTTTTTGAAGCCACTTTTACATCAACGAACATTATCAATTGATTCTGAGTAGCTTTATCAAGATCTGAAGCAAATTGTGCAAAGGCTTCTAATTCTGTAAATTGCGCCAGTTCCAAGGAAAGCAAAGCTCAGAGCGGACCATAGCCAAAGGTCAATTACATCGAGCCGGAAATTCCCCCTCAAGCAGATGCTCCCGCCCTCGGGCTTGGTCCTCGGTTACCCCGGGTCTAGTGCGCTAGTGCCCGCCTATGGTGCTGGACAAAGAAGGAAGCGCTAACGCGCATCCGTTTGATTGCTGGAGCGAGGCAGAACCAGAATAGGATCCACCCGCTGTCCTGAGCGAAACAGCAACTTTGGAATGTGAAAATTTTAATATATTTTTATGATAGGGTGAAAATATATATTTTTACTATATATAACTTTTTAGTTCGCATGTCGTAGCTTAAAAACTATGAAGACGTAACTTTATTG